TGTATCTTCTGTTCTTTGTATGTTACAGTCGACACAACTATTTTGATGGTTTCTAAACTTGTAACATGTGCATAAACTTTGTCAAAATAAATACTAGTTTTCACATAAAAACTTTTGCCACCAGTCTTTCCTTATGCTTATCAATTTCACCATTTGGCCTTAGCTTCAACAAGTAGACCCACTTAACATCAATTAGCTTCTTGTTTGAATTTTCTACAAGCTTTTAGGTCTTGTTCTTCTCGATTTCCCTGAGTTCTTCTTGCATGGTTGTCAACCAATTTGAATCATTCATGGCTTTGATCCAAATCATTTGGTTATATTCAACCATCATTATCACCTCTTCTATGAAGTCGCCATCTGCACCGATTGCTTGATCTGGAAATCTCTCATATCTAGCTAGCCTTGTCGACTCGGTTCTCATTCTAGTTGATCTTCTAACATTCTGCTCAGGTGGTTCTTCATTTCGATTGGTTGTGACTCCAGTCTGTTGGTCTTTTTTAAGCATAATTTCGACTATATCTTACTCATGTCGAACTACCCCATGAGTCCAATTCCACCCTTTACTTTTGTCCGCAAGAGCATCCTTACTGATCACTAATTTATCCTCATTAGGTGAATACAATTTGTATGCACCAGTAGGATGATAACCAATGAGCACCATAGCTTGACTTCGATCATCTAGCTTCTTCCTTAATTGTTTAGGTAAATGTGTGAAACAAATTGATCCAAATACTCTAAGATGTATGACATTTGGATTGAATCATGTCCAAGCCTCATAAGGTGTCTTCTCGACTATCTTCTTGGTTGAACATTTGTTTAGAATTTATACAACTGTCCAAGTTGCTTAACCCCAAAATTTCTTTGGCATACCTTTAGCTTTCAACATGCTACTAGTCATGTTCATTATACTTCTATTTATCCTCTTAGCTATATCATTATGTTGAGGTGTATAGGATGCAAAAACCTCATGCTTTATACCTTCATCATTGCAAAATCTTGCAAATTTTCTAAAGGTGTATTCACATCCACCATTAATTCTCAATTTCTTTAACTTGCATCCACTTTGTTTCTTGACATACAACTTAATTTTCTTTAATTGTGTGAATAACTCACTCTTTCTTTCAATAAGGTAAATTCACATATATCTGGTGAATTCATCTATACAAGTTAGGAAATAGTAATTACCTCCATTCGACGTTACTTCAAAAGGTTCACACACGTCATAGTGAACAAGCTCCAGGTTGTCTATCGACTTCATGGACAAGTTGTGTTTGAATGCTTTTGTAGCCTGTTATGCTTTGCAGTATTCCTCACACACAGGACTTGGTTCCTTCACTTGAGGTAAGCCATACACCATCTTCTTCTGGTTGAGCATACCTAGACCTCTGAAGTTTAGGTGTTGATGCTCGTGATACCATAGCTAGTTATTGTCTTCAATAGCAGTTGAAGCAAGGCATTGATGATCAACCTTCTTGATCTCTACTTTGAAGGTTTTATTATCTTCCAATGGTGCCTTTGGTATCATCCTTTCTTCACCATTATACACCTTCATCAGATTTTCTTCCAACTTCATATTATACTCTATGAAAAGTAATTGAAATATACTTATCAAATTACTTGTCATTGAATGTGCATATAATATGTTAGTAACACATGCCCTCTTACCATCTTTTCTCACCACAATTATGTTTCCTTTTCCACTTGATGTGACATGACTGACATCTGCACATCTAATAAATTTCTTAACCGATTCATCTAACTTGATGAACCAATTTTTATTACCAGTCATGTGGTTACTGTATCCTAAATCCAGGTACCACATATTGGTTTATTCACTATTCGACTGAGTATTTGCCATGAGTAGCATATCATCTAAGTTGCCTTCTCTAGCATGTGCATATTGCACTTCGTCATTATCTTTTGCTCTTAAGTTCTTCTTTCTTTGACAATCTCGAGCATAATGACCAAATCCTTGACAGTTGTAGAATTGCACCTCCTTCATGTCAACTTTCCTCCCTGAATACTTATTGCACATCACTTTCTTGATTTGATCAGAATGATTCTTTAAATTCTTACTTGACTTCTCATCATTTTAAGAATTATTTCTTTGCTTCGCCTTTTCTTTTCCAGATTTTTTAATGAATCTTGCTTGTAATGCATGTTCAGCCACATTCTCTCTTTCTGAGTTCATCCACTTCATCCTCATCTCACAAGCTTCTAATGAAGCTTGAAGTTCTTCTAACTTTATCTCAACTAGATTTTTTGACTCTTTAATATATAATACAATGTAATCAAAATTTTCAGTCATAGATCTCAGCACTTTCTCAATCTCCTACAAATCATTAATCAATTCACCACACGTCTTCATCTGGTTCGTGAGTAACATTAATCTTAAGAAGAAATCAACAACTAATTTATGTTCTTTCATTTATGTTATCTCAAACTAATTTCTCAGTGTCTACAACTTCACCCTCTTTAGTTTTTCATCTTTTTGTCGTTCAAGTTCTTTAACTTGTCACATGCTCCTTTAGACGTTTATTCTTCAATGATCTTCTCGAACACGTTAGGATTCAAACATTGATGAATCAAGAAAATACCTTTTCCATCTTTCTTCATTTGTTCCTTGTGTGCAGCCTTCTAGAAATCATTTGCATTCGCTTCCAATGCAGATACTACATCATTCACGATTTTAGTCACATCTTAAAATTTGAATATGACCTTCATTTTTGCAACCCACCTCTCGTAGTTCTCGCCTTTGAAAATCGGTAGGTTCACTGAAAATTGCATTGATGTTGTGTTATCATTTGCCATTACATTTCTCTTTAAATCGTAATCGGACTCGTTGATACCAATTAGTTAGAACAATTAGGATTTTCAAGAAGAATGAAGAATAAGAAAATAATAGAAAAACTATATTGTGTAAGAAAAAAAAGAATTAATTGAAGTAAAATTACAGTTTTAAAAAAACTTACTTGCATTTATTACGTCACCTCTTTATATAGACAACTCAAAACATACAAGTTTACAATCGGTAGCATTTGACTCAGTTGAATGCATGTTTACACAATTTAGTAATTACATATTGTATTCAACTTTGTCGAATACAACTAATTTTTACTAAACTCACTATTTCGATTAAATCGAGCACACCTAAATCAAATACATTCTTTTTCTATATTTCATATTAAGTGCCGTCTTTATGATATTTTTTATTTAAAATCATCTTTTTAAGAATATCAATGGAGTATTTTTTTTACTATTATATAATCTTATTTGTTGTATTTTAACTCTATCAATAATTTTATTAATCCAACTCATATGATAGATTTTGTAAAAGAATGTCACAAAGGCGGATTCGAATTTATAATATCTCTTTTTTTAACTAATCATTAGAATACTAAGAAAAACAATTCAATTAACTATAATTAGTGAAGGTGTTTTAATATATGAAACCGAATTTATTATTTAAAAACAATTCATTTTATATATATAATTTAAAATTTTTAAATGATCTATAACTATATGTGTGTCTAAATTGTTTTTTGTTTGGTTTATGGCCAACCAAATATTTCTCTTGCTTGACTGTGGAAGTAGAAGGGAAAAAAATCATTACTTGCAGTGATATTACAATAGTGAAATTTGGTGTGGATATTTTCTTGAAGATAAGATTCTTTAAAGTGGTTTATAAATCCCATGTCTTAGCGATAAAGACAATTCAGTCTGTAATCATATACATAATAAATTAATTAAAACTATAATGCTTTTAACTCTTTGGATTCAAGATTATTATAACAAGTTTGCAGCACTCATAATCAAATATTAATATTAAATATCCACTTACTTAAGACAGACTAAATTAATTTGTTTTATTTGACGTATAGATAGATTAATTTAGTTCTAAAACCAATTCTATTATCAAGTAGTTCTAATGTCATCCTCCACTAAATTTAACGTTTCACTATTAAATTAAACTATCTAAGATTTTTTTTTTTTCAGAAAGTTGTGAGATACTGTTAGTGCGTATTTATTTTTCACAATTATGTCTCTTTTTAATTATTTCAAGCAATTAACTCATATAAAGACTAGCTTTTCATTGTATATTTTTCTCAAAATTAAAATATATTTTTATTTTGTAAGAAATAACATTAGATTTTAGAAAAAATAAAGAATAAAATAGATATTCAACCTTAAGAAATTAAGTGAATAAATGAATAAGAGTTTAAGGATTATACCATATAGAAATTCTTACATTTATCAATCAGATTTTATTATAATATTTATTTTGTTACAATGATTAGAAAACACAACAATCCGCACTTTGTTTTCTATGTCGGTATGCTATTTGAACCGAAGCTTATAATATTTAATTTGAAAGAGATGATTTTATATTCAACTCTTATATATATTTTTATTGTTTAAAAGAATTTCAGCTATGTTCCCTTAGCAAGATAGGAACACTCGAAGGTATTAATAGGTGTATAATTTATTTTGGTGCAAGAGTTTGGTCATGATGGCAATAAACCTTATATAGTGGTGTTTGAGGTTATTTAAGGGATAAATTCATGTGAGATGAGAAGCTCTATTGGTGGTTGGCTCTATTCGTCGCTAATTAGACAAAAAAAAATTAATATAAAACATATTGAATAGTTAAATAATCAATATCAATATTTTTAAAATTAAAATCAAAATAAACCTTAAAATTAAGATGAGTTAAGAATCAGAACAAAAAGCTTATTAAATCTAAATATATTTCTTCTCAATTGTGATATCACTCTCATCATGGGAATGAGATCGGCGGGACCCGTTTGATCCGTTCATTATTACGCGTTAAAAATCAAGAAAGGATAACTCTTAAAGGAAAAATAGTAGCACACTCCCCACTAACAATATATAAAATATAATAATAAACCTTAGAACACTACAAATTCAGTGGATTGTGATTGTGATAAATTGCATTGTGATTATATTGTTTTATAGAGAAAAATAATCAGGCAACAAAAATGGGTTCTCTAATGGCAGGATGGGGTTCTTCCTCCATTGATCCTAAATCAGGTACCATACAGTAATACTATACACATATGCTTTGTGTTTAAGCTTTTATTTTATGGATAATTTACCATTTATCAGGAAACTCCTTTTATTGTTTCAGCCACACTTCAAAGGAATTTGTCACTTACTAAAAATGAAATTGATGCTTATTGGAAATCAAAGAAGAAGATAGAGGAAGAACACTTTAGCGCCATTTCCAATCTCTCTGAGACTATTGATCAGGTTTCATATTCAAATCTCCACTTATCATTTTCTTTAGTTTTTTCTTCTTAACATTTTCTTTTTCTTGTCTGTTTATGATACAACATGAATAGGTTAGCAGAGACAATGATCCTGAAAAGAAGCTTAAGAAATCAATGACTATGCCTGTGACCAAGACAAGGGACTCCTTTAATATGTCCATTCTTGACACAAATTTGGAGCAACTTATCAACAAAAATGGTTGGTAAGTTAATTTACTCTTTTCATTATATTAACTTAATCAAATTTAGTACTGTATGGTTTGAATAATAAAAATTTAATTGCAGGTGGACAAAGAGTAATTGGGCATTTCTGAATGAGCCACCATTGATGGAAGCTGCATCTAACAAGTATGCAGCTCAGTTTCATGTTGCCAATTTGGGACCATCCAAACTGAACCCAGAAGATGAAATTAGTGCTTGATTATATAAATCTTGCTAACTAAACACTAAGCTCTGTATATATTTGTTAATTAATCAGTATTTATGTTTGCATCAATGTAAGATAGTGTGTCTAGTGTTGAACCAATTGTGGAGTTTGTTTTTGTATGCAAATAAACATGTTTTTGTTTCTGGTTAATTTGTTTGAAGAGTGTAATGTAATGAAGCTATTTGATTATATAAGAGTAAATTATATGATTACAGAAGCATTACTACAAGAATTCCAGGAAATTAACTCCAAAATTGGAATGCTCTGATAACAGCATAGATGCTAGCCAAGTTTAACCTAAAAATAAGTTATAAGAAATTGAGAACATATCCACAAAAGCAATAGAATCTTACATTGCAGATTATTCATTCGAGATGTATTAGCGAATTGTATAGTTTGATGCTGAAGGTTGCAATGTTGATCTCAAATTTGTATACTCTAATTCAGAATCAAACCCGAATAACTCCTAGTTATTATTTTCCAGATCCGGATTGAGATTCTTCTCAATGAGAATCAAATTCAAGCTGTTTGCTTTGTCATCCAATCCAATGTCTGTAAAAGCATCCATAATCCTTTTACAAGCATGTGTATCAAAATCTGGGGTAGTTGATTGTTTCCATTGATCAATAACTTCACCTGCTTCTTTTGCGTGATCAAGAATCAGATATGTGGAAATAATGCAGATATAATTCCTGCTAATCATTTTCTGTTTTGTCATTCTCAATGAATTCCATATATGATCAAGTTTATCCTTATTTCCCATTGCGCCATAAAGAATGATCAAGAAATCATATGTTATCCATTGACTTTGTGTGATCTTTTTCTCGGTCTCAACAAGTGAGTTCGAACTGGCACTATCAAGATGACCTGCAGTAACATATATGTTGGCCAAGTTCAAATATCTAATCCAACTTTCATCAGAACCAGCATCGTTACGCATTTCTTCAAGAATCCTTCTAACTTCATCGATATTAAGAGAAGCAGCACATGAACTTATCCATAGATTATAAGTAAACATATCCGGAGCAACCTTTTGTTTTTTGAGGTCTTCAACAACCGATGGGACCTTTTCAACCTGCCCGACTGACATGTAAAGAGTCATCATTTCATTGTAAGTAAGGGCATCAAAGGGGAGGTTTGAATCTTTTATCCTTTCATAAAGCTCCTCGGCTTTTTCGGTCATTCTCGCTCCTGCATAAGAATGGAGGAGGGCGGTGTAAGTCTCACATGTCTTTGCAGCAAGTGGTAAAGCCTCAAAGTAGCGCTCTGCAGCATCAATGCCGAAAACCTTGGTCATCAAATCTATGCGGTCTGCATAATCAGAGTCTGATAACTCGTATTCTTCATGACTAACCATCCATTCTGATATCTGTAACCATCAACAGTAAAAAAAATTGTAAAACCATATATCCAACTGACAATTACCAAGTTCCTAATAAAATTTTTCAAGTCCAATGCAACCTTAACGCTGCAAAAGACTGAAACCTTATTCAGAAACCATTGAATGTATTTGAGACCGTTTTGTAGAGCAAAAATAATATATAAAGCTAATACATGAATCAGAAAAACATTCAGGAATAATCAAGCAATATTAATTCAAAATTATATCAATACAGTAAACTTCTTTGGTGCTGCAACGGCATCATAATCGCTCGAATTTAACAGAGGCCTCTAGTGCTTAACAAACACCAGAGGATCCTTTATTGTTCCAACAATTTTTGGCACTAAAGGCATTCCAGAACTGAGTAATCAACTATTAATTTGTGAACCTTGCAAAACTATTGATTTGGTAGCCACCTTGCAATCTTTCTCTTTCTGAACCTAACAAAACCTTTTTTGGGGTACAAACCTTACAAAACTATTAATAATCATTGGTGAAGATTCTGTAACAGTGTTAAAAGCAAAAAAATTCCAAAAACTTATATGATCTGCTACTACATGTCTTCTAAAGTTTTTTTTTAATTTTATCTTACACAACTTCCAGAAATTATCCCTAATTCACAATCACAGAGCAATACCCGAAAAAAAAAAAAAAAAAACTTCAAAATTCATTAAAACCAGCATCTAATGAAAGCCTGTTAGGATAAATGGCATAAAAAAGTGCTTATTATATAAGTGTTTATGTGTAAAGTATTTCTATAACAAAAAAATCAAATAAAGTCTAACTATTTTCATATAAATTATAAGTTGTTTTCGTAAACTATCCTAGAGTGTGTATGGTCTTGCGATGACAAAAATTGATTTCGAGAGAATTGATTCTAATTAAAAGTGACTTAAATGTAAAGTGATTTATATATGGATACATTTACCTAAGGTAAAACTAATCTGGACAATAAATTTCAATATAATTAACTTCTGGACTCAAAAATTACAAATCCTACTTTAAGTTAGAATCAATAATCAATTCTAAAGGCAAAATCAATTTTAATCCGGACCACCCAAACATGTTAAAATCAATTTTATACATCCATAATCAATTTTGAGTGATCTAAGCCTAAGCTTGGATTTCATAAAATGTACGGAGCACAACGGATCAGAGTGGAGTGGAATGGAGCAGAATAGAGTCTAGCTTAATGAAGATTTCATTGCAAAATTTAGGACAAAACAAGACAAATTCTTCATTCCACACAAATCCATTCCACTTCAATCCGCTCCAATTCTATCGATCCAAACAAAGCCTAAAGGTGGAACTAAACATGGACCTAAAAGCTAATTGAAATAAGCTGAAATCTATGCCATAAATTGTTTCCATAATCTATCCTAAACAGTCTCAGAAGAACTTCTGCAAATAATTAAGCTCAACTAAATCTCAAAGAGAAAGAAAAGAAGGAAAAAAAAACCTCCAAAGCGTGTTTGTAACGCTGAGAGCTTCTAAGCTCATTAGAAATATCACGAAGCTGAGAAACAGGAATAGAATTCCCTTGTAGAACCCATTTCTGAAGAACATTGGTAGCACTTCGTTTGGGGAGTCTCAGCCTCAAGATTCTGCTTCTTAGATCATCATCACCAACCTCCGCAGTGGTTGAAGTCTCTTCATCATAATCACTGCTCACAGCACCGGAAGTTACAAATCTTGATGAGCGGTGATGGTGATAACCATTGTTGATGTTTCTGCATAATTGTTAATTGAACTTGCGTGAATTTACATAGTAATGATGATAATAATACCTAACATTTTGAATCTGATTGGGAATTTGGAAAATTGGAGATGAGAGAAGGAATTTGGCTTACGTTCGTTTGATAAGAGAGAGGAGAGAACGGTACGCCATTGACGGCGGTTGTAACTTGCTCGGTTTGTAAGTTAGAAGAAGTGTTGTTGTTCCGTTTGGTTTGGTAGAGGGATTCAGAAATGAAAGACTTGTTTGCTTCGGTGACAGTCAATGAAAAATGTTTTTTTTTTTTTATCTTGAAATGAATATGGGTGTGGGCTGGTTATGGATTTGAGCCTAATAATAATTTCTTTTTTAATTTCTTAAGGCACCTTAGATATAATTTAGACACTATACAAATTTTTAAAAATGTCATCCGTTTTTAAAAATGTATTTTTGGATACACTCTAATATACATATTTTATTCATTTTTGATTCACATTTTAATTTTATAAATTAATTTATTTTAAAAATGCATCTCCAAAAAAAATTTGAAAATACATAGAAGTTGAAAATTTACAATTAAGTATTATTGGACCACAAAAATGTACGATGATGAATGGGACCGACCAAGAGCAAGAAATTGTTGCATGTTGTAGAGAGAACGTTGAAGCATCATTTGGAGGTGTCATATCAGGCGTGCAATGCAATCTTCCAGAAATATATTTTCGAAATTTTGTTGGAGATGCATTTTCAGAATAAATTAATTCATAAAATTGAAGTATGACTAAAAAATAAATAAAATATATGTATTAGGGTGCGCCCGGAGATGCATCTTCAAAAACGGGAGGCATTTTTAAAAATTCGCGGGGTGCCTAAGTGGTATCTAAGGTGCCTTAAAAAATGCTCTTTTTTATACAGGAGATTCTTTAATACACCCTATGAGTTAGTCACATATCCCTAGTAAATTTTTAAAATAACTCTTAAATGCGAATTTTAAAATTTGAATGCATTTAATATATATAACATTGCTTTTTTGAAATATGTCAAAGCTAGTTAAAGCTCATTTTAACTTTAGGATTGAACTTCGGAGACACCCTGACACATTACACTTATGTTCAATCTCAAAACCATACAATTTCAAAATATTTTGGTTTTCAATGTCCTTATTTTCTACGGAGCTTGAAAGCCTCGGATTTATGAAATAGAGGAAGCGTGAAAGTTAGTTAAGTCGTGTGGTATGTCTGTTTGAGTGACCATAGTTTTACAAAAGTACGGAAGTAATTCCTAAGTACTAAGGCAACTCTCATACACATACACATTTAAAAGATTTTTTCAACCTCTTTTTTCTCTTAAAATATTTTTCGACGTCGAGCTAAGTGATTAAGAAATTGTCTACTCTCTTTTAAAAGGTATTTTTAGCTACCCAATTGATTGGGATCTTAAGTTAATCGATCAAAGCATTAAGGCAATCGATTGGAGAAGGCTTAAACAATTAACCAAATGATTAAGACATCAGCTTAATGACTTGTAACGACTCTGTCAAATCTTTTCACATTGGGCAAAGGTAATCGATTAAAATTGATCATCTGATCTATTAGGGCAAGAAGTTAATCGATTGGGACTTTAATTTTTTCCATAGTTCTTTTCCTTTTTTGAATTTTCCTTCTCATATATAAAGGAGGGTCGCCTCCTCTCCATTTTACAATTTTTCCAAAGCTTTACATTTTTTTTTTGGAATTTATCTCTCAATTTTCTCTCTTTCTCTCTAGAAATAATTTTTCTTTCACTTAAGTTGCCTCAGTGCTTTTGAGTGAAACATTACTTGTGAGGAACAAGTTGTATTGGTTATGTTATTATTTTAATTCTTGAGAGAGTGATACTCTTGAAAAATTGAGTTTGGTT